AGGGTATTACATACTTGATGGACATTTAAGGGATGGAAATCCTAAATGCGAGATTAAACCATACATTGTATACAACTAAACCATTAATTTAGACAATGTGCCAATGTCAACCTTTTCATGTTTTGTCCATCGCCTGGCGTACTCTTCCACAGAATTCCTTATAAATGAAATCATGATGCCAGTGAAAAGATCGAGGTTCCAAAAAAATTGTCCTCCTAATACATGTAGCTGCATTTTTTATTTAGCTCTACTGATCAGAGATGATGGACAGTGCTAGATTCATCGATGTCAAATATACTGGGTGTATAAGCCTATCTTTGTTGAAATGATGACTTAATCTTTTATTTCAATGCAATTAAATAAGATAAAAAATTATTCTTGAGTTTATCCCTTAATATTGTTCATTCATAAAGTAGGTTCATCACGATGTTTTAAAAAGTATTTTTGAGATTTTCTATGTTCTCTTTGTGACCAGACTTAAGGGCCACCAACATATATAATGATCTCACCTTAAATCTTAGCTATGGATTTCTGTCACACCTGAGATTTTCCTAAACCGCCGTTCCACCAATATTTCTTATATTGTTCTCACAGTATAAGTTGAGATTTGAGCAAATCCTTAGATTTATCTTATAGACTTATACACTAACTATAGTATCCTGTTGAATAAATAAATAAACAAATACTAAATATAATGTTAATCAAATAAATTTACTTTAATCCAGCGTTGTTGATGGTCTGCGCAGGTGGTCCTCACGTGAAATGTCAATAGAGAAAATTCGAATGAATTACTCGCAGTCACTGATCAGTGTCACTAAAGAGCTTGGTTGATCGGATATTCCGGAATCACCAATGGTCTGGTTGCTCGAGTCTAGGCCTATGAAGTGGATTTTCCGTTGGGCGCCATTTTGTAGCGGGTATTCCCGGCAGTATGATGGAAAACACCAGTTGATAATTTATACGTTTATTTTGATGATATCTTTAGCTGATTGGAATAATGGAATATAATAACGAAGTCCAATCTATGGAACTGAACTTTCTCCAAATCAAGTTTACATATTTGTTACATATGGAGATACATTTCAGGAATTGTCCAAGGTCTCAAGTCTTAGGAAATAGATTTAAAGTCAGCAACGAAGTAAACTATATCTTCTCTATTCAAAATCAGAATTCTAGAGTCTAAACTGAATAAAACTCACTACACCACAAAGACCAAAACACTAACCAATGAAAACTAAGCATTTCAAAAACTGACCAATAGATATGTACATGTATGTGGTCATGTAAAAGTGTATGTACAGGTGTGGATCCAAAGGGGCGTATATCTATATAACTAAATACCCAAGTTAGTAAAGAATAGAAAGAATAAAGCTTTAACGGAAAACTATCATTTATAACTTATTTAATAATTTATTTAGTTTATTTAATTTATATTATTTATATCTTTTATTTATTTTATTCCATTTAAAATCACTCCAACTTTTATTATTTTAAATAAAAGTACCTCTACTACAGCGATATGCAACCTTTTTTTCGAAAACCGTAAGATTGTTATAATTTTTGAATTATTCAATTACCGGGTATTGATTTTACCTTTTATTCAGTTGTTTCTGCAGATCGCAAAAAAAAATACCACACACATACTTGTACGAAAGCCCGTTGAAGTCACTCAGAGAGAGAAATTTCTTTATTGCATTTAATCGCAATAATTATTGCGTTTAATCACAATAAGAACATTTCTTTCTAAATTGGCCTCAATGGGCTTCACATCCCCTAATTTCTTTAACTTATTTGCTGTTTCGAGTGATTCAAGAGAGAGGATTCCATTAAGACGTTTGCGACAATAATTGTTCATTGAACCCCAGTAAAAATCCCTACAAAAGAGAAATACAAAAACATATCCTAACATATAGATATTTAAACTACAATTGAACAAAACATAAGGATTAACAAATATAATTTTGAACTACATCACGCGTGAATTTGAAAGGTATTATATTTAGGTGCTTTCTTCAGTTTCACTTGTACACCATTCGATACATTGAAAATCAATTCACCTATTTCTTCCTCTTCTGTTTTTTTTCACGTTATACATGTTATAAATAAAGAGAAATAAATGCCTAATAGCCAGCTATTAATTACTTGGAATTTCTCTGGATCGAAATTTCGAGATTGGAGAAATCAAGGAAATCAATTATAAATCTACGTCGAATGTACACCTGAAGTTTGAAAAAATTATTAATGTCTCTCCATAATGGCACTATATGACATTTTTGTATACATGTACAGTGTATATATATCGATCGCCGCCAAAACAAAAATGATAGATTCCACAATTCCATTCCTGTATTGGAATATACAAAGGACCGGGCTTAATGGCGGAGAGATTATGCGGGGTCCGCTTCACGCATGAGTGCGTAAAGCGATCCCATAATGCGAACGCCGGGTTCGCTCTAGCTGACCCAGAGCTGAGCCCAAGCGAACGCGGAGCGAACCCGGAGCGCACAGAAGGCGCACTAGAACGGTACCAAAATTTCTGAATGCGAACCCAAAACGGCCCCGAGTGAACCCTGGAAGCGAACCCAGGGTCTGCTCTAGTGTTAGCTGTGTTCGGTCGGTACTGTTAGTATAGTACCAAACTTAAAACTTTGAAACTTTGATTTACTATTGTGAAAACTTTGGAACTTTGATTTACTACAGTGAAAACTTTAGATCTTTGACATACTACTATAGTTAAAACTTTGGAACTTTGATTGATTATAGTGAAAACTATAAAATTCCTTTTATTGATGATTTTTTAAATATTTCCTTTATAAGTAAATAGAGTGCATAATTCCATGAATTGGTAATATAATAATAGGAATATTTACATGTGTGTAATTACAAAAATACACTTCTTGAATTCTGGAACTTCCAGGCCCGCAAAATAAAACTGTAAATGACTCAGGGTTCTCCACATTTGAAAATTTAACCATGAAGAAAGCTGCGCAAAAGCGAAATGTGACGAAAATCACAAAATGCATAATAATCTTAATTAATCAATGATTAGTTTTACAATTTTTAACCAATTTGTTTGAAATGTTTATATGTTATTAATGTTTCCCATGTAACAATATTTTGGTTAGGGAGAAGAAACATGATTTGAACTTGCCCTTTGTTCTTATTTGAAGGTTGCCTTTACCTGTCCGATAAGTTAAATTGGACACCTACAGGTAATACTGGACCGCGTGCAGGACAATAAGAAATTTACTGAACCAGGTTTTACATACGTCACAAAAATGTTTAAAATGCATTTTCAATTCTTTAAAATTTGAGTGATTGAAATTCCAGAAGAATCATTTCTATATCACTTCTATGAGTTACAAAAACCTTCTTAGATTTGTTTAAAACTACTCGAATATCAACGAGATTAATGTTAAACAAATTTATTTCATATGCGTGCTACCTATATCCGCAAGCTCAGCACCCCCCCCCTTTTTTTTGCTTTGTATTTGTTAATTGATAACAGTTTTCAATTCAAATTCTCTTCATTTTGCATGTTTTTACAATATCAAACGAAGCAAAACTATTGACAGTAATGTCAGTGTATTTGCATAAATATTTTTTACGATGTTACAATTTAACATGATGACGATGCCTTATAAATAATAATGACTTCTTAACCTAAATTGCAATCAAAACAGAGTCATATTATACAGTTATTGACTGGGTATTCGGGCAACATATGATTTGTTGGACCTGAAGGTGAAAATGTTGCCCGAGGCCGCAGGCCAAGGGCAACATTTTCACCTTCAGGTCCAACAAATCATATGTTGCCCGAATACCAGTCGATAACTGTTTTGTTATCAATTATTTTATCAATTATTTTATATGGAAAATAATGGCTTTTTCAGTAAATATAAAAACATCAAGCCGAGAAAGAACAAAATCAATTATATATTGTATCACAAAAATTATTCATCACAAAACATATTCTTCTTCCCTAACCTTGCTGTAAGCAATAACGTTAACTCTTGTAGCTTTTATCTTCGGCTATTCTCGAGTCGCCGATATTGATATTACTTGTGACGTAACAGACGAGTGACGTTGCTGTCTAACAATTCTTATGTAAGACCGGTCAATAGTGAAATTGTTAGACCGATGTAATAAACAGTTTTTGTGTTGGACTTTTTATTAGTAATAAATATATAGAATGATATTTATAAGGGTATAACAATGTAAATTGTAAAATGTTTCAATATTGACCAGTCTTACATAAGAATTGTTAGACCGCAACGTCTCTTGTCTATTACGTCAAAATTAATAATCATCGTCCAATGCGAAAATAGCCGAAGTTAAGAACTACAAGAGTTGCTGCTTACAGCAAGATAAGGAAGAGGGGAAGAGTATGTTTTGTGTATAATTTTTGAGATACAATAGAATAATTGATTTTCTTCTTTCTCATCTTGATGATTTATATTTACTACAGCCATAATTTTCCATATTAAATTTATTGATAATATAGCGTGTATTGATTAAATTGATCAATCTTTAGTGAGCAGTGAAGGGTATAACAAAACAATTATAGACAGGGATTCGGGCAACATATGATTTGTTGGACCTAAAGGTGAAAATGTTGCCCTTGGCCTGCGACCTTCAGGTCTAACAAATCATATGTTGCCCTCATACCCAGTCAATAACTGTATAATATCCTTGTGAAAAGTATTACAGATACATTCTACTCACAAACAGTGATAAAGAGCTTAAAGTTTACACTACCTATATTGAAAACCTCATCTCTGTTTAGCTAAGACATATTTGCTTGGAATATGGTTCTACCTTTTAATGTTATTGCCAAAAGAACTATGAAATGCTTCTGACACGACACCATCATCTAGTCCTAATTTATTGTTTTTGTTGGTTTGTATGAATAATTATGAGGTGTAAGCCTTGTGTAAGCCTTTTTGAATTTAAGAGAGATGAACATAAATGTATTCAATTCTTCGGGATATGTTACTTACCCTTCTAGTCGACCGATTCTGAAAACAGAAAAATGAAAAAAAATCACCCATTGCAAAAAAAAAACATTGGACTGATTTATCGTCTGAAAGTAATGTTAAAAAAATATATTGGAATAAAGAATGTGACTATTATACGCAGATAAAGCGGCTTTATATACACTTTAAGTAACTCATATAATATCTATAAATTTTAACATGCAATGTCCTTGAATTGCTGGAAATTATATTAATAAGTTTTACCTCGGGATATACCGGTAAATGCGGCCTCTTTACTGAACATTCAAATGATCTCCTGGCAGCTAGGTTTATTCCAGAAGGCTAAAGAAAATATAGTGCTTATTTGTCACATTTTGTTGTCGCAGTTGATTTTAAAACAAATTGTTACATAATTATTCAATTCAATTTATTTGACTGCAAATATTCATATAAAAATTTAAACCATGCTGATATCTAAAACTTTACTCTACCTTATGTGGCTTTCCTTGTCGGTCGTAAAAAATCATTGTTTGTAGAAGGGATGCAATTGGACTGTCTGGCGTTTTTCTGTCCTTTTGTAAAAAAAAATATCAAAACGCTGTTTTAATTTTTAAAAATTACCCGTCAGGAGAAAATAAAAACTGTACACATCCTCATCTCCTGACTGTAAAAAGTTAATAAGCTTCATTAACGGGCAAAGAAATGTTTCAGTTTCTCAAAATGAATACAATTTTTTCATCATTTTTTTTTATTCTTGATATGTAATTTAGTTTCCTTTTTGATTTTGGATCGCTCATTTATAAGAAATACCGGTATACAAGTTAATGACTCCATATTTTAATGGACATCAGCAACTAATAGAAATTTAAAACCGCTCACAAGTGTTATCTACGTTTCGATGAGGTTAATAAGTACGGGATGCACTTATGTTTCAACTAATGTCAACTACAAGATGGTAATTGCATTCATACCCTAAATGATATCAACCCAGGGGTATTTTGTTTCTCGCAAAGAAAGTATACAATGTAGCAATGAAAATATTAAAAAGTATGCCTTGGCTGGGATAGAAAAAGAAAATGCAGTTTCGAAATTTGATTCACAACTCTATACATGTATATAGATTTGAACTTTAAAAAGTTGAGATCAGTGATAAAGTTGTTTTACACAGATAGTCGCATAAAATGCTTCAGAACAAAACTCTTCAGTGTAAAGTATATAGGAAGTTCTAAACTCGAATAATATCTGAAAGACGTTGCATATATAAATTACACAAGACAAATAGTCATTTCTCCATAATTCATTTGTCATTGCTGCAAATTAAATCATGACATCTTACCCATGAGTCTATTAAATTTCGTGTCCAATGGTTAGCCTTGTCATATATATCCCATGGATGCCAGTGAAAATAAGAGGGCAACTTAAATGATGTCAAAACTAAAACGAAACAAATATAAATTTAATTCATAAAACTTTTCAGATCCACAAATATTTGACGTGTTAAACATTAATTATCAAAATTCATCACAGTCACTAGTACTATTATTAATTTTTTCCACTAAAGTTTCCATAGCCTAATTTACTTATAGATTAATGGATACAGCCACTTCAGTAAAGTACATGTCCTCAACTTTGATTCAGTTTTATCGTTTGCACAATTCAACAGAAACACGCTGCATGTACATGTAGCAAACTCTCTTTTTCATAAAATATTGGTTTTAACCCAGTTTAATGCTATCAATTCGTGCCACAATCAATACATGTATTTAATTTAGATATTTGTGGTAGTAATGTCCACTTTATGAATTTAACTTATTTGCAGTTCTTTATTTTGTCAACTGAAGAGAAACTGAAAGTTTCTGCAAGCGTTGTTTGTCACTATTCATTATGTGAAAAAAAAATATTCGAAACTCTACATTATTGACAATGCAAATGTATCAGGGATTCTTATTCTAATACTTTTTACGCTGAATAAATTTGTAACAATTATTTTTTCATTGTGAGAAATTTAAAGTTAATAGCTACATGTAGCAACCGAAGTTAAATAATCTGTGTATGTTTTATTACATACTAAGAATTTGTTACCTGTTTATGAACAACAACAGAGGTACACAATGACATTTTATAATACAGAATTTGTTAAAGTATCATAAAATTGTCTAAACAAAGATCGCATTCTATCGTTAAACCCGATACGTAGGACTTATATCAATTTAATAATTAGTCAGCAAGTTTCAAATCAATAATTGTCAATATGAAAATCTTGTTTGAAACATTAGATTTAGTGCAGTACGATCCCGATTAAATAACAATTAAAATTGCCATAATTCCTTCAAAATCAATGAAGCGGTATGAAATGCAAAGTTGATCTGTACCTTATCAAGATTCACTGACGTACCAAAGTCAGCTCAATAACTGCGAGCTTTGAACAGTAAATGCGGAAAACCAAGTCGAAAAGACTGTTAGACAGACAGAGGGACAGTCCTGTTACACCGGACGGGGACAATATGCATAAAAATGTCCTGTCCTTGGTGAATTCTGAGTCATCAAAAATATCGTTTTCTCAATGAATACAATACAATTGTTTCTCAAAACTATATTGTGATAACATACCGGTCCGTGTAACACTTAACAACTTTAATTTCTAAATTGATTTAGAGTTTTGAAAAATAAATAATTAGTTCAAATTTCTTAATATCTAAAACTGATTTGGTATATTGAGATTTTATATTTAATTCAAAAATTGTAATTATCAAATTTCCAGACAGGATTTTATCTATTTTTTTTTTTTTTGCTTTAAATATTAAAAATTCAAATTAAGAAAAATGATTTTGCATTCATTTTTTTTTAATTTTTAATCTAACGTTTGTTCAGAAAGTTGACGCCTTATGCTTACAATATAAAGTTCATGATTATTTTTTGGTCTTTTGATTATCATAAATTCACTTCAACATCCAAACATAAGCTTGGAAACGTTTCAGATTCTTAGAAATTTAGAATTTTAGTTCAAATATTCATACTTTAAATATCGAAACAATTTTAACATTTGAGTTTTTTTAATTCAAATATAATGTTTCCAAACCAAATTCGATTTTTGAAACACGGTCGCATACTTAATCTAATATGTAAGTTCCATTTTGATAATTTTCCATCGGTAGCGATATCGCTAAAATTTGTTGTGAAGTACAAGGGTGTTAGATGCATTGTGAATTTACTCTACAGGCAAGCTCAAAGAAAACAAATTTAAAGCGAGAAGTTATGTTAGGATTCTAGAACAGATTTAAGGGTGCCGACTATAGTTTTATTGTGTGAAAACTACAACAGCGAAACTCTTCATTTTTATACCATATATAACTTATATTAAATTCAGTGTTCATGCAAAGTTTGGGGGAAATCTACCGTCTAGGTATTTTTAAGGGACCGTCTCAAAATACAGGTACAATTACTATAGGATTATAACATAAGAAAATGCCAATTTTTAGCACTTTAAAGCAAATTATACAAATACTACAAAAGACATTTATTCAAATTATAATATTTGATGAGTAAAACTACATTATACAATACATGTAAGAAGCGCAAAATTCTACCGTCTTGTTTCTAGAGGGGGCTTCTCATCATGCAAAGAATTAGCAAATTTTACTATTTTATAGAGTATTACTAAATCTGACGTACACAATGGATTCACATGAAAACATAATAAAAATATTGAAGATATTCTCAAATTTCTATGTTTTAAATTTCAAGAGCGTATGTTAAGGTGGAATGCCACACCAACTTTTTATTTTAAAGATCTTTGAGTCATCCTTTTAAAACAAGGGTTTTAGAATTGAAAGGTCGATATTAGCTCTAAATTATTTTAGATGAATTTTTTTGTATTTTTTCAAAGAAAATGAAAAAAATTAAATAAATTCAACTAAGATGTTTTCGAGTTAAAAGTTTGCTGTAAATGAATGTATCATATTAATATCTAATAAAATATGTAAAGAAAGGATTGTTAGACTTTTTAATTTTTTTTTATAAAAAAATATTTATGAAAATAAAACACATTATTTGTGAATATTTTTTAAACCTATGGTTAAAATCACCATAAAACTACTCACATCTGAAGACAACATGTTTGTCAAACATATTCTTAAAAGAGATTGAATCGAAATTGAGAAATTTTAGAGAAATTATTTTTTTAAATATTTGGACCTAACCCGATCAAAATTAAACTGATCCCGATCAAAATTAATACAAGATTAATAAAATGCTAATTTACTGTATTTACAATGAAGAAATCTATTTTATTGTCAAGTTCATAAATGTTTTAATCCTTATTAAACTTAATCATACTAGTGTTCTTGGGGAAATGTATATATTTCCAATAAATATACAATTATGTTGGGATCGGTTTAATTTTGATTGGGATCAGCCAAAATTAAAAAAAAATAATTTCTCTAAATTTTGGCCATTTCGTTTCAATTTCTTTAAAAAATATAATTAACGAACATGTTTTCCCCAATTGTGACTGGTTTTAAGAAAATTTTAACCACAAATTTAAAAAGTATTCGCAAATTATGTGTTTTATTTTCATAAATATTTAAAAAAAAAAAATATAATTACTATACGGCTTTCCTACACATATTTTATTAGATATTAATGTGATGCATTAATTTACAGCAAAAATTTTACAAAAAAGCAGCTTATTTTGATGGAAATATTTTTTTTTTCATTTTTCTTTGAAAAAATACAAAAAATTCTATATAAAATAATTGAGAGCTAATGTCGGCCTTTCAATGCCGAAACCATTGTTTAAAAAGGTTGACTCACAGATCTATAAAATAAAAATTTGGTGTGGCATTCCTCCTTAATTACTTTTTCTTTAATAATATTTGTATTACCCCTTTCCTTAAGAGCTACAGCTTATCATAACGTCAAAACGCAACGACGTCAACCTAATTATCAATTGCAAAATTGGTTAAAAATCAGTTATATCAAATTGTAATTACATTTTTATACCTATAATTTCTTAATTTTGTTTAATTGTAATTATTAAGCGAAAAAAGTTGCATTAAAGCAGTAAATACGCTTCATTCTACTACCATGATGATGCGCGAAATATTGCGCAATGGGAACTATAGTCGGCCCCTTTAAGTCTTGAAATGCTGTGATGGTGAGAGCGAGGAAGTGGTTGTCAAGCACTGAGTTTAAATTTGCAACATATCCACCAATAAAAACCAGCGTTCAAAATAATTTGTGAAATACGCGTAACAATAACCATTTTTTCTAAATGATTATCATATGTCAGAATTGATATTCAAAAGCCTATCAATATAAACACCAATTAGAAAAGGGCCATGCATGTCTGTAATACATGTACAATTAAAAATAATCCTCTGGTTCCTCTTTTATTGGGAACAGAGAGCAGTAGAGCGATTATTTTTATAAAGTAGAGGAGATTTAATTGATTTCAGTTGAAAACAAGATGTGTTTGTGAAACGCAATGTGCCCGGCGGCAACAACATTCAAAAAAAGGTGTTTTAGCATATACATTTACTCAAAGTCAAATGGTCAATGTCTTTTTTGTCATTTGAAAAGAAATTGTGCAGTGGAGTATGCATACCAGATATAAAGTCTCTAACTCTTATGGTCCAAATGTCATAGTGAAGGTACGAAAAAGATATTTTTAGCATATACATGTACATGTTAATGGTCAAAGTAACAGGATCATTGACCTTGCTGTCGTTTGAACTCAAATAGTGGAGTATACATATAAAATAAGAAGTCGCTATCTTTTAAGGTTCAAATGTTACGGTGAAGGTTAAAAATGCCTTTGAAAGAGCCTAATTAGTAGAGTATGCATATTAAATATGAAGTCTCTATCTTTCATAGTGCAAAAGTTATGGCGAAGGTTAAAGTTTACTGACAAAAAAGGTACTTTTAACATAAAGGTCACAGTCAATTTCACATGGTCATTTGGGAGAGCTTAATTAGTTTAGTATCCTTAAAAATAAGGCGTTTCTACCTTTCTTGGTTCAAACATTATGGCGAAGGGTAAATTTTGCAGACAAAAAGTTTCTTTAGCATAAAGGTCACAGTCCATGTCTCAAGGGTCATAGATCTAGGTGTCATTTGACGAAGCTTAGTTAGTAAAGTATGCATACCAAACATGAAGTCTCTGTCTTTCATAGTTCAAAAGTTATGGCGAATGTAAAAGTCTGCAGACAAACAAACAGACATCAAAATATTATATAATTCCCCGATCTATAGCTTCGGTGCATAATGACAAACGTTAAGACATATTGAAAGTAAGTATTTAACGTAGCCAATAAAATATCGAGTTGAAATACAGTGTACAAGGAGTCAAACTGAATTATTCAGGATGGCTTATATGGAGGGAAATTAACACCAAAAGAATATGTATCTTGCTTTCATTCTTCTCCTGCCT